GCTTGAAGTAGTATAGCTCTATTGGCATACCGCTCACATTAGAATAAGACCTGTGCACAGACGGTGAATAACCGTATGACAGCCAGATTTCAAGGACTTCACAAGAAACCCTGAGTCTAAATTGCGTATCTTGTATTCCAGTAATTCTGGAATGGGGCCACTTGGTATGGATCAACTCTAGAGCTGTTCCAGTAATTCAACAAGCACTGAACAAACTACTACAAAAAAAAGCAAGAGTGGGAAACTACTGCCTACTAAAATTACCCTGTAACTGCGAGCAGTATGCGTACTGCCACTTTCTCTTACAAGTACTGGAAAAACATACTAAAGCTTACGTTTACAGTGTATTTACATGTGTTCAATAACAAGAAATAGAAACATCGTAAGCGTGTATCTTAACAAATCCAAACAATGTTTGAAGTCTTGCTTATTTACCAAACAACATAAAGTTTTCCTCCTTTACCAGCTGCTTTTAAAAGATACTTCTTTGCACTTGTACAAAATTATTTTAGGTATTAAGTAACATAAGCCTAGGGGAGAGCATCACAAAAATTACTCACTACTACAAGATAAATGATGCAGCAATTCTGGATCACTGTACCACTATGAATCTTAAATCCTGGTAGGTATAAAATAGGTACCAGGAATCCCAGGTCACAAAACAAAGGTTCAGTGAAAAATCGCCACAGGAAGAGATGAGTTGAATACGCTGAAGTAAAAACAGAGGTTATAAAATCTGTCACCTTACTGTCTTTCTAGTTTCTGGATTCTGTGGTTTCTGGTGTTTGCCAAGCACTCAACCACGACTCCCTGGTTTGCACCAAGTGGTTTCCCACCCAAGTACAAAGCAGCTGCAGATGCCTTTGATTCTGAAATCAGATGCTACGTAATACATCAGATATACACATTTAGATCACATTAACAGCCACAACAAAGAAGACATTTGTGAGGGACGACTGCATCAGGCTCCATGCTCAAGGAACAAACCCAGGTGCAAACCCAGACTTTACCTCAATATTCTTTTTTGAAAGCAAATTTAGAAATGCAAAATATTATTTAGTCCAAGCGTATTGTTACAGTTTAATTTAAATAACTAGAAATTACTGTTGTCCTTTCCAGAAATTACTGCAGCAATGCAAAACACATCGCATTTCGTCAAATGTTTAAGTGCTAATTTTGTGCTGATGAAATTTTACCTGCCAGATCAAAGATCGAGCCGTATGATTAAACTTTCTTCACAGACCATGCAAAGAGAGGCACTTCCAGAAAATTCAGAGTCAAAACCTAATTTACACACTTGGAAAGAGTTTTAGTATCACTTACCAGCCATGGAGAAAATATGTCTGTGATAGTAAAAGGTGAGGCAAACTGGGGAAGCAGTCTCAACTTGGCTTTGTAAAGCCAGGGATTAGGAGCAGAAATTCACCTAGTACTTCTTTCTAACAAATCTGTGATTCTCAGGTGAAAGTCTGAAAATATCTACTTGTATTTTTCAAAATGTTAACACATTTAGTATCTTAAAATATTTAAAATTTAGTGTAACCACATTAGCTGTGAAAAGATGCAATTATTTCCGGTAGGTGGCAGCATCAACCTGTAGAACAGATCTCAGTATTTTAAAATCAGTATTCCTGAGCAACCTTTAAATACGGAAGAATGGTCCCTCCTGGAACTGGAACCACCTATTCAAAGGAAAAAACCAAACTTCTTCCATATCTGTAGAACTCAGTTTCTGGCTCTGTCAGATCCTGGGAATCAAGACCGACTGTTAAGTGCCAGACAGCGTCACCACAAAAACATCAACTTTTTCGAACAGAGCAATCCATTAAACTGGTTTCCAAAAGTTGTGATGTATCTTTCAAACTCTAGAAATGCCTGTGAAACTTCAGGAAACCTGGTTCCTACTATTGCAGAAGCATTCCTAAGGCAATATCCCTGGTTCAGGCAGGCAAAGCTGAATAGGTGTCACCACTGAGAAGTACTTGATCTACCTTGGAGTTCTTTGGGCCTATCCTTTACCCAGATTCTGGCAACTGATTTCCTGGTACTGGGCTTCACAGGCTTGACGCTAAGTGCTCCTGGTGTCCCATAGCAGACCTTTGTGTTCCAGGAGATACGTCTTCATCCTTGCATTGTTCTTTTCAGTGCTGCAGACCAAATCTAGGGAACCAAAGACCATGGACAGTTAGATTTTCTTTTGTAGGCTCAGAGGACCCATACGTAGTTCAAAGACTTCCAAGAACATTCTCTTTGCTTACCTTTCTTTCTCAGTCAAGACAATCTGTGCTTTTACCTTTATTCCTTCTGGTTCATCAGATCTTTCCACAAGCCAAGACTACATTGACTGTCTGTTCTCACCAGGAATAAAAGAGCAAACAAGTTGCTAAGATTTGTCAAAAAGGTACGAAGCAGCTACAGCAGGCTGCTGACTTCCTGCTCTTGAGAGCGAGATGCCTCATCACTCACTCTTCTCCCGGATGGTGAGATCCAGAGTACTCATACCTCAGACTTTGAGGAGCTGGAACTCATCCAGCATCTGCGGTCCTCTCATTATTTTGCTGTGCCCTCACAGTGATCTCAGCAGTGCTTGACAGATCAGGCTCTTCAGTGCCTCTTGCCTTTTTTCACCTGTTCTCATTCACCTTCTTCACAGGGCACTGTTCTTCCCTCTGAGACACGTGTGTTCTAAGATCCCTTAGCATTCCAATATAAAAATTAAACAGCATTGAACTGGAAGCACTATATAAGCCATGGTGGGTGACCTGAGAAATCAGAAGCAGTTTTCTGGATTAGATGCATGCAGAGGCTTGTGAGTACTGCATGGCTGTGGTGCGCCTGCCAGTTCACTGCTGCAACTTCTCAGACTGCACTCTGCTGACACCAGGATTGCCAACCATGATGATCACTTTGACGTATTTACTTATGTTACTTTTCCTCTTTACTTTGCATTATTCATCATTTTACCCACCCTTTTTGGTGCATTTTATTGTCCCCCCCCCTGTCACAATCAACAGTCATTCTTTCAAAAGCAGTGGCAGTTTGAAAGTGCTAGAACCAGAACAAGCTAATCAAATCCAGAGTGGTATTAGTATTCTTAAACTGGAAGTTATTCCTTAACATAATTTTAAAAAAAAAAAAGCTTTCTTAGATCAAATCAGTAGCTAAGTGTATGTCAACTACAAAGCAAAACTGGAACACTTGCACCTTGCTGTGTTGAACATGATGCTAAATGGTTTGCTAAGGGATAGTAAACAAATGGAAATCAATCTTCTGAGATTCACTGGCTGGTTGGTAACTTTGTACATGCCCCAAAATCCATCATCTCAATGTTTTGGAATGATCTGTATTGAGAAGAGATGTGACCCACAGGGAATCGGGAGCGAGAAACTGCATCACTGTGTGCACCTCTGAAATCTTTGTGTCCACTTCTTGCACAAACAATCAAACCAAATAAAAATCAAAATGGTTTAATGTAATTTATTTGAAATGCTTCCAGAAAAGTTTAAGGCTGTTATTAAGAAAAAGTCAACACAGACATTCATTCTTTCCTCTCTATCTGAACACTCACACGCTTTTCAGTATTTTTAAACTATTTGCTGAATGGGTTTTATGAAAATGGATCATCATCTAATATGCTTTCCTATGCCTTCTGCAAATTCTTCCTCCCTTCCACCTTCAACGGCACATTCATTCAGCTCTACAAATGAAGCAGTTGAAATAAATTACAAAGCCTGAAACAGAAAATTGACTTTTTTGAAGAACTATAAATACAGACATTTGTTCTATAGGGTAAAAATGTAATTAAAAACCCCCTTGGTTTATATTGTTTATCATCTTGTCACATTGATTTCTGCCATGCACACCAGCATACACAGATGTAAGATACCTGGCACAGTAAATTTTCTGTAAACTTGTAGAACAGAAGAAATTGTTTTTGGCAATAACTTAGCAGTTTTTCTACCTTTGTTGGTACAAGTACTTTGCACAGTTTATCTTGTGTAATATCAAGGATCATTTAAATTTATTAACATATCATTTTCATAGCTTGCCATACGGCACTGCCATAATCTTTTCTTATTCTAAGAAATAAAATATTACCCAGGGATTCCTGAAAAGTAACAGGATGTTGAACTGAGTGTTTTAGACTGCGTTTAAGTGACTCATCTGCTTCTCATTATGATGAGTAGAATAAATCAGCCACCAGAAAACACAGTAACATTTCCAATTACAGCATGAGATTAAATGCAACAAAAACTCTTTTAAAACAAAACTGGATAAAAATATAAAGGATGTAATACATCCTGGAGGAAAAGCAATTCCCTTTTTGTTTAAACTTCCTCTACATAATCCCATAGGGTATTTGTAGAGCACCATTTATATAAAATAATCACTTAGTTTAAAAACCAACTACATGTAATTGTAAACAACCATTTACAGAAAATTAAATGATTTAACATTAGTGGTGTTTAAAACCAACAGTAGAGGTCAGTGGAGTGCAAAATGCCGAAGAGGGCCTATTCACAAGCAAAAGCTTTTTCCATTCTTATCCTGTTTGGGATAAAATCTGTGTGCGTGTATATCAATATATCTGGCACTGAAAGCAAAGTATCAGCTTATTTACAAATACCCAGTATTCTCAGCATTTCCTTTAATTCAGTGCTGGCTGTACAGGTTTGGTTTGGGTTTTTTTCAGTTGATTATTTTTAGCATTACATGCTATGATAAATAAACCATAGCACTATGCTGACCACTTTAACTGACCAGATTGTAGTACGTTTGGTTGCTGGATTTTAAGACAGTGCTTCATTTTGAAAAATTAATCCCTAAAGAGTTACTGGTAATACAGCCCACTGTTGACAGTTCTTGTTGATTTAATACCACAAGAGTTCAGGCAGCTTATTGCAAGATGTTTTTCTTTTTTTTTTCCCCTCAATAAACTACATTTTCCCTCCCATGCCATTATGAAAATGTGTCATCTTGATACCCCATCCTGAAACTCCATATTAAGTCCACATCTTCAGCTGCCCCATTAAAGGGCATATAAAGCACTTTAAAAATTATAAAAAGCTTCTTTATGTAATGCACTTATAGACAGTAGTATAGAGATTCTGTTTACAGCAGGGCATTGAGAATAACTGGTCAAGTACCTCTTTCATCCACCTTAGCTGTTTATGGAATATAATCACAGGACACGAGTTGCAAGAGATTCCAGCTTATACAGATCCGCAGTTACAGTACTACACTCATAGGTACGAATACAAGGGCTGCATTGACATGATCACAAAAATATTTTAAAAGTGCTTCTCCAAATGGTTCCATGTGTGGAATGCAAATACTGTACAGGTAAGAGACAGATTTTCTTCCATGAACTGTAAGTTTTTGTCAGACATTGGTTTCTATTTGCTTTTCATTTTCACAAGAGTTTGTCTGTTCCATGCGTTCACAGTCGATGCTGATCTCGCTGGTGTCCATGCTGCAGTCTGACTCACAGTCTGATTGGTCCATTTTCTCAACAAGTGTGGTTTCTCCCTGGGGTACTCTGCTTCCATTTGGTGACAAAAGAAAATGTGCCTCTGAGTTCAGCACCCCAGCTTTGCCTGCACACGTAACTTTCTCTTTGGCCTGGCGGATACAGTTAAGCCACTGTTGTTTGTTGAAGGAGTCATTGGCTTGGAGTGAGTGCGTCTGGCTTTGAGATCCGTTTTTGAAGCTGACTCTAAAGAAATTTTTGACTGAAAGAAACAATGCATATCAAAACACTGAATGCTTTGGCTGAATGGATTTTTATAACCAAACAGTATATTGAAATAACAGAATCTGTAAAATCTTTGACTTAAGGTGTTTTCCTGCCACTACCATGTCAGACCAGAGAACAGTCTGGGTGTCTCCTTGTTTTGTGGGGCAAGAATGCAGCTCACCACAAGTACTTCTAATAATTTCTTACTGATGGATTAAACAATTCTGATTCTGCCATGCATGAGCTACCCATAAAGCTTTAAGTGAATCAGCGGGATTAACGCTTCTCCCATACTTTCAACACTACTTCAATCCCTATTTCTCTGCAAAGCAGATTTCCAGAACCTTCACTGAATACTCTGCCTTGTGTCAGCTGGAGATTGCCTCATCTCCTCCATTCACTTCACTAAGATTTCAAAATACACTTGCTTATAATTCTGTGGTTTTCCCACTACATTCTACATATTCTCCTCAGTTCAGTACAGAAGCAGAATGTGTGGAGAAATCCCATTATCAATACAGTGAACTTTGAGAATCAATCTGAAAAAAATGAAGCTGCAACGTAATAAACCAGCCTGAAATAAAAATCAAGATGTTGGATACAGATAATGTGAATTTTAGAGAAAACATTCTGATGTCTCATTGGCAGGTTTCTCACGGTTATAATGATCCTATATAAGCCAGTAAAAAAGACAGAGCCGTACTTCTCTCATTGTTGCTGAACGCACCACGTATGGATCCACCCAGTCGCACCTCTCCATCTTGCAAGTCTTCCAGCACAAGCTCCCTCACCGGAATTGGCTGCCTATACAGCTGGTAGCAGAGCTGCTCGTTATGGGTGATCGCTCGAGTAATCACCAATACTTCTTCAAAGAGGAAGACGTGCAGCTTCTTTTGGAAATTAATAAACAATAAAGCATTATTCCTTTTCCAGAATAGTATTTAACCACATTTATTTAAAATCTAGTACGTTATAATCTCCTGTTTTCAACTGTTAAAATAAGGATTCCTCTCTTCCAACTATTTAAAAAGTCTTATGGTGCAACAGCAAATGAGTACGTAAATACAACAATTTAAAAACTTCTAAAACTGTTTTTCCTGTCCTCTTCTCAGTTTCTTATGCAATGATCTGAACTAGTCTTTCAGTGTTGAGGCCCTCAAATGTGCTCCTTCCAAAGCTCTCTCTACAGCAGTGTGCTTCCATGTAATCTTTCTGACACCCACCTGAGCTTTACTGTGTTACTAACAATCAGCCTTATTCATGCAAATACCTTCAATGAACGATTATGAGCAATCTTTTTACAATTCACATGCTGCTCATAATCAGCTTCACCACAGCTCTTTGAAGCTCAGAAAATTACTTTTGCTCCTAGGTGGCACAAGTCATCAGTTACCATCTTTACATTATGTTCCTCCTCACATTTTGCACTCTCCAGTGGCTTCCAGTAATAAAAAAACCTGAAATTTTAAATTTATTTCTCAATATCATGCAATGAAATTAAGTTTTTGTTTTTAATTTCCAAACTTTTCTTCCCAGTCACAAGTAACTGTTCTTTGCTTCTAAAGCTGACTTGACTCTAAATCTAAACAGATGCATTAGTTGCAGCTTTAACACAAGATTGATCTTCAAATCTGTTTAGCTCATTGTCCCATCTTCCAATAGCACATGTTTTCAGAAAACTATAATGAAAGCGGTAATTATAGCAGAAACCTTTCCCAGTTTGCCTTGGCAGTCTTCTGATACTGAAAAACTCCATCTTAATTCTATTTTTCCACAACAGATGCCTCGTTTTGTATCCATGAATAGTCCAGTTTTCTTCCACTCCAAGTCTTTGCAGCACACACACCTACCCTGTCGGTTTGTTCCTTATTCTGCAGGGCTGTCATCGTTTGTATTAACAGTGACTCTGTGCAGAGTCTGGTAAAGAATCGATCCGTGATGTGTTTCAGCTTTTATGTTCAGCAAATGGCTCCCTTCTCATACAAATGAAATATGAAGGAAAGCAAAAGTGTGTGAGATTAAATACTTGAGGTATGCACAGGTATGGATGTTTGCTTGTGAAGTAGGTAGTTTTCTGTTGCTTTTGGGTTTGTTTGGTGGGTTTTTTTTAAATATTCTAAAGGTGCAGCAAAAGTACCTTGTTTGTATTGAAAGTCAGCTTTCAAACTATCACCCACAAAACACTGCAGATTCTTCAAAATGTAAAGCTTTGTTATGGCTGATTTTAGTGGAAGTCATATGAAACTCCTTTCAATGGTGACAACTCTTATTTGCTACAAATTCTAATACTCTGTAACAGCAGGTGTGAAAAGAAGACTGATGACATTACGATATCAATTATCTCTTTGTCACCCCAAATCAAAGAACCACACAAACATAAAAATATCCCACGCTGCCAACTGTATTGAAGGAATACGTCAGTGTGGAAACGTAACAAAAGATTAATGAAAGATGTAACTATATAATAGTTAATTTTTATGAATTTCCTATATATGAGGGTGATGTTTTTATGTGTCTGCTCAGCTTTTTTAGCTGTCAGGCAAAATGAAGATGTCACTGAAAGCTACGTATGACAAAAAAAGATTTATTCCTTACCACTCCCCTGTTGTTCTTCAGTTCACCATGACAACATACAACACGTGAGTCATCAATCAACGAATCCCTTTGACCTTCTTCAAGATAAAGAAGCCTCTCTTTGTAATACTGGCACTCGGATTCACCAGTCTTCACGTTGATTTCAGCCACTATGCCCTGTATTATATTTATCTATAGAAAAACAATGAAAACACATGAACTTTGATTAGACAGTCCAATATTCAGAGTCATCTCATCTCCTAATAATTTGAACTGTAGCTGCAAGAAAATACATTTTAATTTACAGTATATTTTAATGATTTTTTAGCAGAGGAATCTATAAAGAACATCAATATTAGCAACAGAATTAAGCAAACTACAGTATACAAAGACACTTGAGTTTGGCTTTATCATTGTTTCTAACTATGGCTTAAAAATCTGGTCTTTATCTGTTCATATCAAACCTAAACAGGCAGAATTAAGATAAACAGATGTAAGAAATATAATCAAGAAATTTATTTTTGTCAGCTGAAATGTGCCAATAAATGACACAGGACAAATAACCTGCCTTAAAAAGATTTAAAATTTATAATTCTCTGAAAACTGCTGCATTGTATCAGAGAATGAGAAACAGAAGAATTATCAAGATCCTTATGCAGTGAAGCATGCAACTAGCGCAGAACACTAAATACGCAACTTTTGTTCATGATGACAGCTACCCTCTGGAAATAAGGTAAGTTCATCTTAGTCCACAATTCCACTACTTGCATATACCTACAATTTTACAACTAAAATTAAAAATTATCTTGCCTTTTTTCTTTAAAAAAGACTAAAAAGAAGCTTTGCTTTTTTATAAAAATGCGCTCTCTATCTTGAGCTTACACTGTGCAGCCTTTAAGGACCTTGAGGTCAATTTATCCGAAAGTTAAATATGGCTCCTTAACTGGGCACGTGGACATGAGGGTCTGTTGATTTTAGTCAACTCCAATAGCGATCACAGATCACTTAGACCGACCAAGTTCCTCTGATAAACAGCTGCACGTGGAGCAGGGGCGCGGGTTGAATCATACGTGCCCAAACAGGTAATTCCAGAATCTGCTGATCCTGGGAGATTTGTCAGGGATCAGCTTGGTCCGGTGTGCTCACAGCAGAATGCCAGGCCGGGAGACAAATGCACTTCACAAGCCTACACCAGAGTTCAGAGCCAGCCTCACAGAGCGATTTCTGTTTCCTAATTAACTTGACAAATTACAGTTTGTGAAATACGTCACTTCAAGAGAAACAGTGTTCTGCTGAAGCAGAATACCACAAAGCTATATAAGGCTACTGAAATATCAATTAAAAAATCCTGATTTTATTTAATTAAACAATTACCAAACACAGGTACTGGAAGAAAACATGTAAAATACTTTTTAAAATATATTACCAGATATTACGTAGAAAAACAAAGCTTAGAAATAAGCAGAAGAATTCTTTGAGAGATTTATGGTTTTTTGTTTGGGTTTAAAGGAATACGCACAAGGAGAAAATGTACCTTAGAGATTACATGTAAATGTTTTTAATGTATATGTATTTTATATACGGGAAAGACCAGAAATCTTAGAAACCTTTCAGAATATCTGATTCAGGTCCCTTTCTATTACAAAGGAAGTTTTAAAGCCTTGGATTTCTCTCTCTGGTCTTACTTCAGAAAGTGCAACACTACTCCGCTTAAAAACAAACAGAATTAAGGCAAATTTCAGCAACATTCCCACAGATGATAATTAATGTAGATTCAGAGGTTATGTAAGGTCTCAAGCCAAGGAATACAACTTATTTAAATGATCTAAAACCTGAAAATAAATCTCCACGTTACCTAACCTGTATTTGGATGGAAAACAGCATTGAAAGGTAAATACAAAATGGACAAGGATCAGACGAAAGCTGTGGAAAATGTCTCCCCTCCCATCCAAACCCCCCCCCTTATTTTTTTGTTGTATCACTTTGCTACTGAAATAGGATCTACGTAGCAGAGAAGGGCTAGATATTTCATGTATTAGTTTCAGCTGCTCATATAAACGTTAGCATTTCCGTATTTCATGTGGTGTCCTTTCATTCATTAATAAGCTGAAAGTGCTATAATCTCCTAAAAAACCCAAACCCAACAGTAACTCACAGCTTCTTCAAGGTGCTGCTGGTCTGGGTGATCATTTGGTGTGTGTCTCAAGATCTCCCTGAGCAGTAATGGGTATTTCACCAAACGGCTTCTTGGGATGTCGAGGAAGTTCCAAAGGTCCAGTTTGCGACTAAAAGGAGACTCTAAGCAGCGCTGCAGGAAATCGTGCACCCTGTGATCTTGTTTCTTGTGATCCAATAAAGCTTTGGCTGCTACTTGATTGCTGCAGTAGCTGTCATAGGAGTTTAGGCATGGGAGCTGAGGAAAGGAATAGGTTATTCTGCAGCTGAAACGAAGCACAGTTTGCTATACAGAAAGTTTCACGGGACTCAGGATGTCAGAACTCATACTGACAATCTTTATTTTCTGGAGGTTTATCCACAATTTATTCATGATAATGTTTCCAACACAGATAAGGTTTACGAGGGTCCTCTGACCACCCTGTTCATAATTTAAATAATTTAGAAGCACTAGCTCATCTCTCAGCTCCTAGAGATCTACAATATTGTTCAAAAGCATTAAAAATATCCATGACTTCAGACTGAGCCCTACTTACTGCAGAAAACAGAAGAAATCTGATTTTAATTATGAATGGAAACAAAAGCCTAGGAATGAGTACTCCCAGACCTGACTTTTTTCAGATAAGCAAACTTGTATGGTCAAACTTCTGTATTGCCCTCAAGGGCCTTAACCAGACTAAAACAACAGAACTGTGCCTTAAATCTAAAAACAAAATTGTATGTTGATTAGAATAATCTCTCTTTTTACAAAACTTGCTATATTAAGACATAATGTATGTAAAGTCTTCACAAATTAGACTGATGTACTTGGACTAAGAGTTCACTGGTGTTTAGGCACACCAGAAAGTAAATATATTTAATATTACTTTATGCAAAGAAAAACAGAAAGAATTTTTGACACTTATCATTAACTATTCACATTATGTACTAGTAGTGATCGTGTTTATCGTGTTTGTAATAGGCCACTCTTTCAAACAGAGCTGCTAAATATGTATTATTAAAAATGTCAAGCCCTTATTTTAACAAACTTCTAGAAAATTAGTATCTTAACAGCACCACCAACTGCTTGTTACCTTGACTGGAACAGACCAACATTCAAACATAGCGGTAGGATGGCCTTACACAATGTGACTGTTCATTTCACTAGGAAACCAGAATGCAAATGGGGGCAGATCTTTAAATTACCTAGTCTGACTCTTTACTTTTATTGAAAGCACATTAAATACTGCTTGACTCCTGAATAGCCAAAGCTTTAAAAACAACATTCTCGTCTAAATCTTTTCATGGAAAACCCCTGAAAAGCGAGAATATCCCATTATGCCTCTAAATAGTTGCCTTATCTTTTAAAAATACTTTGAGAATATATTTTTGACCTGCTAGATATGGAAAGGAAATTATCCAATAAAAACAATGGTGCAGCACCAGAGTAACAAAATGGATTAAAAACTCTGCCTTACCCAACCCACAAGGATATGGCCAACATGTTCTGTTGATCCATCAGGTTTCCTGACTTCTTGAAGTCGCCTAAGAAGATCTGATCATGATTTTAAAAAAAAGAAGAGCAACTTCACTTAATGAACCAGATGAGTACAAATCTGTGTGCAGTAGTAACACAGAAAGAGAGAGAAAGACTGTTTGAGTTTTACCTTCGTGTAGAGGAATTAGAGAGTCTAACGTTCCAAAAATTTGGTTCAACTCTTGCTCTGTCATTATGGAAAGCTTAAGCATTGGGTCATGATAAGCCTGAAAAGAAAAAAGGAGAGCTCTGTAATTAATGTATCATCGGTAGCTGAAAAATTATTAATACCATGTAAAGCTTCCTGAAAGTAAAACCAGACCAATTGCTAAGCAGATTTTGAAGTTTCATAATCATATCTTAAACTACCCATTTCAAACTTAAAAAAAAACAAAGCAGCACATTTAAGTGTTTCAAAAAGAACGGAAAAATAGAAATATGCTTTCAGTTTTTTCCCCTTTTACTGTCTTGGCAAGTATAAAAAAGCAAGAATTATTTGAAAAGTGATGTGAATTAATGAACACTGTTGAATGTGTTTTGGGGACTTTGTTTTGGTTTGTTTTGTTTCTAAAAACAGACCTTTTTTGCCAGCTTCAGATCTTCTATCAAGTCTTCTTCCCCCTGGGAAAGCTCAAAGATAGCCTGTAAAAAGAGACCCAAATATTATAAAATATCATTCAGTCAATGCTCACCTGTTTGAGTTGATACGGTATTCTGAACAGCTGTCTTAATACTATGCAGCAGAATTTCTCTGCGAAAACTAATTGCAGCAATAAAGCAAGGCTTTATTCCATAGCTACAGAATCATGTGCAGTATTTTTAAAAACAGAGCTGTACCACATTGTTCACAAAATGCTTATCTGAAATAGCCACAACATTTTATTTTTCTTCTCAAACAGACGTGTTTCCAGATGGGGAAGCTATTTTCAGTGTGGTATTTTGATTCAACAGATCATACAGCTATTTCAATAGGAGTTTGTTGTGTTCCATTTTAACACATACAGTGGTAAAAGTTCTAGTAAGTAAAAGATAAAACTTCTTTAAAGCATTTCTTTGGTAGTGAGCACCTTTATTTCGGTATCAGTTCATTTTTGTGTTATGAATGTTAAGCTCTACCTAACTGTCAACTGATGTTAGTTACTCCTCTTGAAGCAAATTTGAGACTTTAAAAAGAACCACCAGCCTAATGCACTAGCTTATCAAATTACCATTGTATTACTACTTATTGCATGATTTCACTCTAACTCAGGGTACAGTATAAGTTAACAAGATTTTGGCCAGTTAGAATTACTGACTTTACAGTCAAGGCTTTCAACCTGCGTAACTCATGGAGGAACATCTTCAGTTAGTGCAGACTCTGCTAGTTTGGTAACACGCACACAGGGAAGGCTTCCCACAGTGCGAGCTGACTGACAGTGCACGCGTGGAAGCTGTTCAGATACTCTGTTGAGGCATGCAGGACCCTCGTGCAAAACTTCCTGCAACACAGCTCATTTATTTGGGCTCTGTAACGGGTCCTGCCTTCTGCCCCAATAGAGCAATGACTGCTGGGTTATGCAAACAGTTTCTGCAGTTTATTTTTAATAAACTGCCTTTGAAGTTCTCAATTTTAAAAGTTATTTCCTCTAAATTCTTGTACGACATTAAAATCTGCACAAGAAATGCTGTTACTATTGTTTGATTTACTACTCATTCCCTGAAGTATTCTCAGAGAAATTGTTATAACCTTTGGTGATACTGCTAGAAATTTCTGTAAGAAAAAGAAATTTCTTGATTCTGCAGGCGCTCTATCATTTACTGTAATGAACTGTTTCAAACTTGTCATGTACAACACATTAAAACCCCTGATGTACTCTTTTTTTCTTTTCTTCTCTGGAAGATACATCTTTTGATCCATAGTTCACTTTTCTAGCATTGTAACCTTCCTCAAAGACACTCTTCCAACAAGAGAAATGACTGTGCATTTCTGTACGTACATACCACTTGATGAAAACCTGTTCCTGAAATAGCATGCTCATCTATTGTTACTAGAACAACTGAATGAAACATCAAATACCTACCCTCACGACAGAAGCTGCCATATGAACATGTGTGCACATACAGCAAATCATAGCCCAGGATATCTTAGTAACCTCATATTTATGAAGGAAATATGATGAGCTGATAGTAAAAGACAGAACTCCAGTAATTTTGAATTATAAAGACTAGGGACAGAAATCTGCTTCTAGTGGAAGTGGTGACATTCTGTTTAATTTCGGGAAAGCTTCAAGTGCTGTCCCTAATGCCTACTGGTATTCTTCAACTCCACGCTTTAAAGATGACTTTTGAACAAGAAATTTATGGTAAAAAAAAATAATACCTCTTGGCGCTTGATTTCTTTAGATGTGAGCATGTGATTGACACAGACATCAAAGGTCTCACTCCATAGTTTGCTGTCTCTCCGCTTTGTGTTAGCAGGGGGCATATTTCGAGCCCATGGCCGTGGAGTGAACAGATCTGGGCGACTATCACTACGGAAACTGATTGAACGCTGGAAATAAAAAAAGAGTTTTTATCGTTACAACAGTTTCACATTACACATTCTTTTTCCAAAGGAATTTATATACATAGTTCAGTACAACAAACAAATGTTATCCAATTAGTTTTTGCTGTGACTTAATAGCAACGTTTAGTACTGGGAATGTAAGAGAAATTCTTTTAATACATCTTTATGGAAGGCCAGTACTTCCATTCCTGTAGTGAACTATGCCCACGTCCTGTTCTCAGCATGTTTAAAAGTGTACAATGCATTAATACACCATGCAACGAGAATGGACTACAGAGATAATGGCAGAATGGTACAACACGAACTGATCAAATACAGGTTCCATTCAGTAAACAGACAAACTATTCATGCATGACATATATCTGCCTCATTAGATACCTAATACTTAAAAATTGAGAATTAATGCAAATTTTAGAGATGACAAGGTACATTACATCAAACATATATTAATAGTTTAAGAAAAAAAACAAGTTTCCTCAGTTGGGCAGAAAGAGGGTTCAGAAAGTGAGACTGCCCTTCAGAACCTTTCCTTGTACCCTGATACGTGTCTTGCTACCTGATGGTCGATATTCAGGTTTTAATGCTTATGACAAGCAACAAGCCAGATTCTTTTCACAGCACTTGCTCCTACTTATTTCTTAGCATTTGAAGAAATTTGTTAAACAGCCAGTACTAGCAGATAGAAAACTGTGAAATACACACCACCACTATTATGTTCTACTGTTGTAGTATCTTCATTAATATTTCTGGAGCCTCTAAACCCCCCTCAAAACTATCTCTGTATGTATTATATGGCCTGGTCTTAAACGTCAATGAAAATAAGTCCAATTTTAAGTGAGACTTGAGAGTTCTATTTGCCTCTTAAAAAGAGTTCAGGCTACAAATAAGATTCCTTTCTTGCTTCATTAAAATTAGAGGCTTCTTTTTGAGGTCCTACCTTTGAAATGCCTCACGTATTTCACATTGTTGAAATAGTCTATTTTTTTGTTGTTGTTTAAAACCTGCCTCACATAACACCATTGTCCTTCAATTGCCTTCAGTAATGCTCACTAAATAAACAAAGTAAATTCTCTTCATTTCCAAGTTGAAAGCAGCATATACAAAGTACAATATTTGAAATGCTCCTCAGAAGATAAGAGCCCATGAAATGCAAACAGTGCCTATAAATATAGTATGTTTCTAAAATATCAGAAGACATGTTGTATAAATTTAAAATGTGCCTTTCAACAGAAGCCAGTTCAAGCCCTACTTGGAATTCACAAAACCCCTAAAAATAAACACACACACACACACACACATATATACCAACCTTCCAAAATTTTGCAAGTCAGGTGCTAGTCTTCCTTTAAGAGTTAAGAAGATAAAGAAACATGTGAAATTACATGCTTAATTTACACTTGTTACAAAGACGCATCATGGAAGCCGTTATTTTCACATGCAGATGGCAAGATTAGAGAAAGGGGCAGGTGTGCTGCATTCACAAACCACCAATGGTGAGAATGCAGCCACGCAGAACAGTCGTCATCCCATGAGCCAAGGTGGAGTGCCCCTTTCCATGCATTCCCATATGCATCCTCCAGGATACAGCTCCTTTGTTTTATGTGGTGTTTCCTTAAAGGAATGCTTTATGCTGAATGAAGGAAGTACATATAATGAAGAGCACCAGACAGGCTGATTTTTAAAGAAAATGCCTTCATCTTGAAACCTTCTAACAAAAAGTCATATATCATGTTATTAAGTGTCATGACCCAGTCACAGCAAATTGAAATTACATTCAATGTTTTGAGAAAAGTTTTGGCATCCACTGACAATAACACTTCTTTATCCTGCATGAGAACGCTTCATACTACTCTCTACAGCCCTATACTGTCCCCCATTGGGCAGAAGGGGCACAAAAAGGTTAAGAGACTCAAAAGGAAACAAAACTCCCCAAAATCCTGCTTGCTTGCTTGCTTAGCATCTTTGCTACCTGGACACAGTAAGTATATATTTAAATAATTTATCTCATGTTTCAGCCCTTTAATTAACCACACAAAGTGTACCTTGCTTAATATCAATAAGGCATATTGGATTGAGGGTATTTATTAGTGGAAAGGTACTGAAATGTTTTCAGGTGTTATTTAACAATGAGGACAAATTTCACTTGGAGACCAAGTGGTTTCTTTGCCTGCCACGTTTCCTTCTTTTATACACTGCCACAGCCAAGGCAAAAACCACTGAGCAACTTCTCATCCTGGTACACTGAAACCTAGTTAGGTCGGGAATCACGTACTTCAGCATTGAATCCAAGCTTATTCTGATACATTATCTTCTCCTTTGCATACATGCTGCAGAAATTAGCTTGTAAAACTATGGAGAGATGAACCAATACATCACCAGGTAAACACTATTTAATGCCAAAACTAATCCTTTGTCACTCAAGAGCCAAGCATACTCGAATCATCAGTGCTGTAACATACAAGAATGAAAAGAGATGTAAACCTGATATATAAGCCTAACTAAAGAAATCCCAAAATAAATACTAAATTATTTCAGTAAAGTTCTCTGATAATTTAAGACAAATGTGCATCCGTTTAACCCATTAAGTTCTACTGCTTTACCCGTTTTCTGGAAATGGGTCTTTCTTCAGACCCATTTCAGTTTAGTGGAATAGAGCCCTACACTATTTCTACCAGAAATTCTAAAACACAAGTTTAAAGGTATTCTAATGGTATCTCTGGGTGGTACTTGCCACAAAGAATTAAAACAAACAAACAAACAAACAAACAAAAATCAGTCCCATGCAGGAATCCCATGAAGGAACCGCAGGAACGTCAGAACAGCAGTTCTGTTTCTCCAGTCTTAAAAATATTTTCCTAGTTTCTGGCTTCCTTAAAAACATGTCCAATATACTGGTTAAAAATTATGCCCATCTGGGATTATTACAATTTTCATATAATTTGAAAAACCAAAGGACCTGGGAAAGAATCCAGCCACAACCTCCGATTTTGTCTACTGTATTTATCTGACTGCAGTAGCTTTCCCTGGCTGCTACAGGCCAGTCACTGTGAAGGGCCTATGTGTTACTGATGTTCCTTCATGCAATTAACAAGCCTTAATTTCAGCTGCAATAAAGCCAACAGCTTCATGTACTGGGAAAAAAGGCACTGCAGAAGCATTCAGAACTGATGTTGAAAAGGGTTTTCTTCTTAAGGATTTTTAGTAATTTCCGGTGTTCTGAAATAAAAATAATTTGAACTCCCTACTTAAATTCAAGAAACACTGATGAAAACTGAAGTTGCAGGGGAAGCTGCCAGACTTTAATTTCTCTTCTCAGCATCAGCTGGAGTTCTTTTGCTGATCCTATTTTCAGCTTTTAAGCCAAACAGCACAGCTGTGAGTAAGACCAAGCTGATCATCATAATCATTAATCTAGCTTGAGGCAGGCTGAAAATACAACTATGAAATGAAGTGGTTTTCCAGGTGGGTACACAAATAAGAATAACTGCTCAGCATTTGGTATCCTGCAGATACACACACAGACTCAGCGCTGACGCTAGCAGCGTTATGTCTGCCAGTCAGTCTGCAGGGCTCTATGTGACAGAAACAGTCACTAAATATAACCAAAAAACAACCCCCAAAACCAGAAAGAAAGCTGGAAAGACTTGATGTGTTTTGTTACTTGGTATATTTGTGGAAAAGTATTGACAATAACGTGGAAAACAGTAATAAAGAAATACACAAAAAATCAAATACCTCTGTAATCAACAAAATATGAAAACCATTAAGAGTTGCTAAGAACGTTCTCTTAAAAGAAGACGCATCTCAGACAGATCTCTTCAGCCTGCATGCAGGACGTCCATTAATACACAGTAGCAGTTACAGGTACGGGGTAAGGAAAATTATGCATGATAAACTTTTTTTTTCTCCTCTTACATCTGTTTTCCATTCAGAAATAATATACAAGGTTTGTTTGAAATGCTATATGCAAACTCACAATTTTCTAATTATATATAT